GACATTCTTTTTTTTTCTAGACAATTCTACAAAGCCTTACAGTAGGGCCTTTCGCACCGCGGGAAACGACATTCTTTTTTTTTCTAGACAATTCTACAAAGCCTTACAGTAGGGCCTTTCGCACCGCGGGAAACGACATTCTTTTTTTTTCTAGACAATTCTACAAAGCCTTACAGTAGGGCCTTTCGCACCGCGGGAAACGACATTCTTTTTTTTTCTAGACAATTCTACAAAGCCTTACAGTAGGGCCTTTCGCACCGCGGGAAACTTTTCATAGTACCAGAACTAATGGTGGAACTACGCACTTTTTGGCATTTTCGCACCACCAGAACTGGGTGCGATTTTAGTACCGGACTGCCTTTTTCGAGAACCAAATTAGCTCCTACTCCAGAGCAGGGTCTAACCAGCGCAACTGGTACTACTCGTGGCGTAAGTAGACATTGATTGGCCAAACGCGTATGAAAACGCCCTCACCCGCCATGATTTAAAACGCCGTGTAAACATAGTGTCAACTTATTTCGCAAAGTATAGAGAACAGCGATAGATGGACGGATGCTGAAGTGCAGGCACTTGTAGCAAATGTAGCACTGCCAGTTGTCGTTGGAGATTCTTAGTCCTCCTTTCCATTCTTTCAATCGTTTTAGGTATACATCAACTTTCCATGTCCATTATTGTGAAACCCGTGAGACACAACAAAAACAGTGACTTACCGCCACCTGCTGGCAGTTTGTTTAATTTTTAAAGTATCTTTTCAGTTATTTAAATCATTTAATATTTCTATATTCAAAATGTTATATTTAAAACATTAATGTCATCATGAATTTATGGATTTAATTGCACTCATTCCACTTCTGAACCTCATTAAATGTCTGAAAGTACATCAAGCCACTTTTGTGTTCTTCTGTGCCATCTCTACAAAGTAATTTTGTTAATATTGATTTCATTTGATTTTTAACTTATGTTTCTTATTCTACTCCTATTCTGTCGTTTTAATTACAATTTTTAAAAAGCTTATAAAATATAATTTTTTTAAGAATTTGACAAAAGATGACATACTTTTAATAAAGTTAGAGGAGTCAAATATCACCTCGTAATGGAAAGGCTACTTTTTGATAACATTTTGGATTATTGTTTAGAAGGTGCTCCTAAATTTTTTAAGTTAGGAGCACAAGTGCTCCTAAAAAGAAAAGTAAGTGTCGAGCCCTGAGCTCCGATCACAGCATCCTCCATCGTCCTGTTGTTAACGTTGTTCTTCTTTGTTTCTGTTGTTGAATGCCGAGCACAAATGACGACGCTGTCGACCGGCTTATGTCACTTCTTAGTACACACTGTCGGTGCGAATGCAACCCTTTAAATAGTACTGGGAAATAGTTCGCGCAAAATCGTCCCAGTACTTCAGTACTGTACATTTAGTTCTGGAACTAAAGCGGTGCGAAAGGCCCTAGTATCAGTGGCAAGTAATGCAGTATGACGAACAGCTGGGTGAAAACCAGTACAGTTCTGAACCTGTTGGGAAGCACACATATGGCACAAACTGAGATCGTTTTCTTTCCACCCCACATGTACAAGGCCATGTACATTCAAGATTCAAATTACATATTTTCATACACTCCACATAAAATTTCAGGCATGAAGTTTTGCTCACATGCCCCTCAAGTCTTTCACCATGTGACTTGGTTTAAATCCAACAAACCAGAAGCTACCATCCCTTGTTATCTGGTGAGACTGGGGTTCAAAAGCAGCCTTCCTTTACAACTTCAACATGTCAGTGTACAAAGTGCTTGAAAATATAATTTAAAAAGCTCACTTCCCAACGTTGTGCCCCATACTGAACGGTAAACAAATTCGAGTTACAGTGCACACACATGCTGCTCTTAACTCCTCCAAAAACTACATCTATCCTGTTCAGTAACTAATGTATCTAGTCACAAAAACAACATATTCCATAGAATCTGGTGAACCAACAGAACAAGAAACCGAAATCTGTTTTCTCTTTCAAAGAGAGGAAATTTGGCTATTGAACAGTTATTATTGGAAAGAATGGAATGTTCAGGCAGTTCCCAGGAAACTGAGTCATTCCATAAACATTATGTATCCGCCACTCATTACAGCTACATATGAAGACCATTTATGAAAAAGTCGCTAAATACAAACAAACATGTCATTGACAAAGTCAGTGTGATGACCACTTGCAAGGAGTAGATTTTAAAAATAATTGCACTTATATAATACTTATATAATATTGTCAGAATTACATCAAAGACACTGTGTGGTTGTTTAGTGCCACAAAAAATGTTTTAGCACATAGCACAGATTTAAAAAGCACATATTTGGGCTCATGAGAAAATAGCACCAAATACCCTTTAAAGGTCTTGTTTCTATTGATTCTTGTACACAAGAAATTGCAAGATAAAGAGAGACGTGCATGCGCACACACACACACACAACAAAATACTTTTTTTTTTAATTATTATTTAAACCACTAGATGACTCATCAAAGCTCTGGGCAATAATAAAACAATCATCTCTGAATCATTCAATAACGATAAAGTGCTGCCAAATGCAAACAGTTATTATTGGAAAGAATGGAATGTTCAGGCAGTTCCCAGGAAACTGAGTCATTCCATAAAACATTATGTATCCGCCACTCATTACAGCTACATATGAAGACCATTTATGAAAAAGTCGCTAAATACAAACAAACATGTCATTGACAAAGTCAGTGTGATGACCACTTGCAAGGAGTAGATTTAAAAAATAATTGCACTTATATAATACTTATATAATATTGTCAGAATTACATCAAAGACACTGTGTGGTTGTTTAGTGCCACCAAAAATGTTTTAGCACATAGCACAGATTTAAAAAGCACATATTTGGGCTCATGAGAAAATAGCACCAAATACCCTTTAAAGGTCTTGTTTCTATTGATTCTTGTACACAAGAAATTGCAAGATAAAGAGAGACGTGCATGCGCACACACACAACAAAACACTTTTTTTTTTAATTATTATTTAAACCACTAGATGACTCATCAAAGCTCTGCGCAATAATAAAACAATCATCTCTGAAAGGTAATCATTCAATAACGATAAAGTGCTGCCAAATGCTGTGACAATTTATTACACTACCCAAATATTATCAGTATAAAGCATCCAATAGCACCATGTAAAAAAATGTCATGGTAGTTGAAGGTTAGGGTGAGGGCAACTAGAACTAATATAAAGCTCTCTCAGGTAGATGGGAAATATGCATGGCAAACTGCTGAAAGCTACACACTCCTAAAAGTAAAATCTCCTTTCTTCATAGATCTAAAGGTTCTCTTTGACATCTGCAGAACGTTACATCTATTCAGAGAAAAAAAGTCTGGAACTTACTTATATATATATATATAATAAATCAACAATATACTAGTGAAACAAGACAATCACTTTTTCACATAGTTACTACACTGGAAAACCACAGATTTTTTTTTCAACAAACAACGCCAGCACTGTTGTCATTCGTGATAATCTTTGATGCAGATGGTGGTTTGTTCTACATTTGTTACAATCATTTGCTTTGGGTCCAGCCCCAGGACACAAGACAGCTATTCTATATGGCATCATTAACGCTGTTTAGCAATCGTTTGTTTAATGAAGAATTAGAGTAGAATTATTAACAACTATAACAATAAACAACAACTACTGCATTATTTTAGCAACATAACTGTAATGCATTAATTTCAATTACAGCACATGACACAAACCACCATTTCACAATAACTGACTGAGACAGTAATAGAACCTCAAATCTGTTAGCTGCAGAAACATAATACACCAACAGTTCTTTCTAGTCAGTTTCTTGAACTCAATATCCTCGCAATAAAGCTTTTTTGCAGTATTTAAGACATCACAACAATGTTTTTTTAGCATCCAGTTATTAAACACAAAAAAATGGCCCAACGCTTATCCGCAGCACAAATTATTGGAATTTTCCTGAGAAGGGTCATTAAGTGTGACATTTTCATTATATTTTCAACTTAAAAATGATTTGGGTAACACTTCAGTCATCTTATAATGACCACAACGTACAGATCTCGGTGTCCTAATAAAGACAACTACAAAAAATATATATATTATGACTAAATCACATGACCATACAACAGTTACTACTGAAAATTCAGCTATATGCATCTAAATAACATCACATTTACAGAACGAAATGTAGCATCTTGGCAAAAATATTTTTTCTTTAATATGCAGTGTAGACTTTTAAAGAGCATTTTAAAACACAAGGGTCAGACACTGTGACATAACTGAGTGACAGGGAAGGCAATAGTTCACTCGGGAAGAGCAATAATTGTAGTGTTTGCCCCAGCCAGAGAGGGGGAGTGATGGAAAACAAATGGGGCAATTTCAGTCATGAATCTATCTAGTCGATTTTCATTAGATGCTAGTTTAAACATTAGGTCTTTTGCCCAAAAGACACCTTGTGTTTTACTCAAACAGCTGAATAATTCAACTTGCGCCAACATGCATTACTTTCCACAGTTTTAGCATTTTTCTTTATAGTGTTGTTTGCGAGCGAGGAGAGAAGAATTGTACGGGTGATTTGAGCGCTGATAACGCACTGCTTTTAAAAACAACTGTTCCCATAAATGTTTATGAGTACATCTGAAGGCCAATGTAAATGCGAAGGCGAGTCCGGTTTTGTGAATAGTATATATTAAGACGAATCATTACTCGTATTTTATACGTGTTTTATAAATGTAACGTATTCGCGCACATATACCATCCGCATTCATTTAAACAGAAGTATTAAATCATTATTGGTATTATTAAACATCATTCATACCTCCCCATGTTTCCGTAAAGTCTTACCAAGCGATATAACATGTGAAAAACAGAACTGCAGATCGTTTACAAAACGCTAAAAAAAAAAAAAGTTAGTGACATTTTTTTAATTGCCGTTTGGTTTGCTGAAATGATGAAAAAAATACAAAATAAAACTGCACTTACTGTGGTGAGAATGTAGGTTCATGGCCGATGAGAGATATTTTCCAGTGTGTAGAGCCGCCGGGTGCCCCGCGCCCAGATGACCGGGAGACGGTGGCATTCTGCCGGCCGCAGCCGCCGCGCTGAGCCGGTGTGACTCCATGGGCAACCCCGAGAGAAGGGGCGGCGGTACGTGCACAGATCTGGGGGGTCCGAAGTCTCGGCCATCCATCATCCACAATGATCCAACTTGATCAAAGAAACAGTCCGATCGGGTAAATCCGAATAAGCCAGTCTTAATGGCTATAATGTCCTTAGATTCCTAGGCAAATCAGTGTCCTTATCCGGCATTCTGCCGACCTACAAAAACAAAACAGAAGAAGAAATAGTCTCGATAGGTGCGGATCACTACTGAAATGAATCCAAAATTATACGGAGATGAACACAAGCAGTGCTGTCATTTAATGACGCAGTTTTAATCTCAACTAGATCACTGGAAAAAGAGAGTAATCTTCTCTAGTGCGAGCGGTGAGAATGCAAACCGACAGCAAAACGTTTAATATCACTCGCGAGAAGTCCGTTTTAGGATAAACAGACGGTAATGCCTCTCGTAATCTGCTTGCAGGCAGTATATCGGGCGAAAATCCAGCCTTTTGGTGGAGACTTGACCGATCGTTCGCGCAAAGTGACCTAGGTTCATTCAAACGTATGTACAGTTGTCCGCATATAAACGGTCAAGAGCGGACAGTCCGCATATAAACGGTCAAGAGCGGACAGTCCGCATATAAACGGTCAAGAGCGGACAGTCCGCATATAAACGGTCAAGAGCGGACAGTCCGCATGTGTTTAAAACACGCGACGTGCACGTAACGGTAAAAACAACATGTTATAAAACGGACGAATTTAACAACCACCTCTGGCGATGTTGGTGATCTAAACCTGCTAATGATTGTAAAACCAGTTTGTTTTTTTCTTTTTCTTGTTTCTTGTAGGCTGCCTTTTAACGGACTAGATTATTGACCTCTGCCGAAACGTTTGTCTGCAAACAAACCAGGTTTATCTAACGTTACTCCAAACGGGCTACGGCATAACGCATTTAAGTTTGTTTTAATATCTAGATAAGTGCATTATCACGGTAGTATCCCAGAAACATGCATATACACGACGCAATACCTCGCTGAACAGTTTGTCCCTGCAGCCTGAAGGCTTAATGTCACAGGACTAGGATTGGATGAGGTGGCTCCACTTCTTTTCCAAACATGATTTCACGTAACGTTATTACTTCAGTTAGTATTGTTAATACAAAAAATTACATAACGCCCTATTCAAACGTCTGACCTTTTCACGGGGCAACTTTTAGTAGCGTGAATGTCGCAGCAAATGTCGAGATTAAGTAACTGGTATCAAAACACGACTGAAAATAAGGACGAGTCCAAGTTGAGATGTGCGCGTGTTATCCAGCCATGCTTCACGATGGCAACACAGACCCGAGCGAGAGCCACGTTTCAAACTTTCCCGTTTCCATTTCCAGCAACGAAACTTTTCCGCCCAGACGTTAGTCTTTCGAACACAGCGTTTCAGTGAGCTGCAGAGAAAGCCGTATTAAACCTTGTAAGCCGAACTATCCCCCGCATTTTCACCGCGAAAACAGCACATTGTTTTTATAAAGCGCCTCGGATTTTGCTTCATAAACATCATGTTACTGTGTATCGGGTCGTGTGCGGAATGATAGCTGGCGACGTCTTACTTGAAACGACGACTCGGTTTATAAAATCCAGTTTCTTCGCAAAATCCGGAGACTTGTGGAAAATTTCTCACACTCCATTTACAAACCATCCGTAGTTACGCAGAGCGAAAGCACATACGGGGGGAAGGCCCTGTGCTCAAACCACTGTAGCTCTCGGTAAACTCTTCTGCGATGAAACAAGCATTGTTTAACAAAGCTCCGCCTCCGCGAAGCTCACCCGACGCGTTCCACAACGGAGCATATGATTGGTCTACAGAAATGTCAATCAATTCCATGTAAACACTTTGGCTCCTCGCCAGCTCTACAAAACCAATTATGGAACAAGGAGGTTGAACTGTTTCAAGCCCCCCTTCCTTCAAGACTTGAATGATCAAAACAAGCGAAGAATTTTTGGAGGGCAGTTTCAAGGCCGCTCAAACTCGACTCATTAAAAAGATGGATGCGGACCTGGTTATTACTCAATGAGCACACACTACATGAGTCCAGTCTCTAAAGCATTCATGGTATGAGTTGCAGGCCCATTTAAGTGGCTCAGACCAAGGATTTTACGAAGTTGGGTCCAGAGACCGCAAGGGGGCGTTTGAGGTTCCGCGAAAAATTAAGTTACACGTTAACTTAAGATCTTGATTATGTCCAACGCTTGATCTTGTATTATCTGGTATAGCTATAACGCTTTCATTCTGTTTTCGGAAATTGTGAGATAAGCAAAACTATTTTATTTTAGTTTTTAATGGAATAAAATAAAGTTAGCCTATTTAGCGACACATAGTTTCAAGAATAGTTTGCGATTGTACTGTAGGCCTATCTTTCTATAGTGTTTTTCCTTGCTACTGTTGGCTTCAGGGGGCACACCCAGGGTGCAAGACAATATTTTTTAAACCGCGAAGTATATAGAAAAAAATAACCTGTCAAACTATATATTTTGCTGATAATATTTTATTACTTTGCTTTGGCTTTTGTACAATGGCAATATAACTGTAAATTATTATATTTAGGAAACAGAATGTGGTCTTATAATAGCATTACTAGTTTAATATTTTTTACATACAGTATAAAAGGGTCTTTATGGGAAAAATAATCCTATTTGGTGGTTCTTAAAAAAAAGTTTGATTAGATTAATATGAAGTTGAACACAGGTTATGAGATTATCTAAACCACTTCACTGAAGGCTTATTTCTTTTTCATTAATTTTCCTTTTATACAGAAATAACATCTTTGCAATTGATAATGACTATAAGAAGGCTTATTATTTTACTAACCAGGTATAAAGTTGTGCATGTGTTTATTTGTTCAAATGGGAAAAAATCCCTTGTCAGTGGTCTGTTTCTTTTAAAAATTTCCACAAGGGAATACAGAGAAGCTGTAAAACTGACTACTGGAGTTTCAACAAAATCACAGCCTGTGAAACAAGCTCAAGAAAGAAATACCAAAGTATATGTTTTCAGTTTTCTGAATCACCCGTTCAGTTTCATTGTCAGTCATTGAAGCATGACATCGCGATTTCATCTGAACTTGAACTACAAACTCTCTAGTCTGGGCGATCAATCGATCAGTTCACGAGACCTTTCCACACTGAGGGGAAAAAAAGATTATTAGAAAAAAATTGCGCGGTTTCTAACCGCCCTTGTCGTGCTCCTCTCCAGTGAGGCGGTTTCAAGGCGTCCTCGTGAAGGAAGTGGAAACGGGTCACACAGGAGGAAAAGACCTAACAGTTACGTGAATTCTCAGGTTTGAAAGAGCATACCTCAATTGCAACTCCTACTTTTAAAGGACAACACTCTCGGGAAACACACCGTGCTTCGGGACTGGCCGGTTTCTCCAAGGACTCGCGGGAACAATAGCGCTGCTTTGCTGTGGAAAGCGTTCGACTCGCGGCCATCAGAGCAGCCCTGCAGCTTCACGCCTCTCTGAATGCGTGCGGTATTAATGAGCAGCGCAGCGCCAGACGCTTGTTCATGTTGGCGATTTTAACTGTACACTGATAAAATACCGGGTTTCCATCGGATGTTGCTTAACATACAGCCATTCGCCTTTCCCAAGTCATATAAATCAGCATGGATTGTTGATTTAGGATTCTTTCTTTGGTCCATTGTTCATCGTCTCGATGGTTAAAGGTGGGTATTTAATGCGTGTCGTGAAAATAGAAATGTACATATTACATTGTGTTTCATACATTGTGCTTATAGCTCATGGTCCGAAATACGCTGAATATTAAGTAAATGTTGGTTATATTTATTAAGAAAATTAATATAATTATAAACCATATAATTGTTAAATATTGAGAAGCCCAAAAGTAGATTTTTTTTATTTTTGAATTTTTTTTATCAGTATATTGTACAACAATAGGCCTATACGTTTCAGAGGAAATTATAACTTGATTGAAAGGCTCTTACATGAGGCTTTTATTGTATTTTACCCATAGTTATGTTACACAGATATTTCATATTTATTTAAACATGGTCTTACATGCCTATAACATTTTATGCATTAATTGCCTAAAAGCAGTGAGCAATGTATACAAACATAAAGTTGTTAAAATAAATGAAGGGGAAAAAAATTAATGTCTGGTGTATTGGATGTAACATGTTTCTTTTTTTTTTTTTTTGCAAAGGGCAAATCTTGCTACAGCTTGCAGTCTTACACAACAATCCAAACAATTTACAACATGTTAGAATCTTCTGAATTCTCCAGATGGTGGCAAAAAAATGACTCTAAATAAAATAAAGATGTTTTGAGATTAGTGCCAGTTGCACTGTCCATGATCTGATAAGTTAAGAAATCAGTGTTAAAATAAGTAAAAGGTTGAACAAAAGTTTACACGATTCTCACGCAAAACGTGAACTGTGATGTACGGCTTGACATGAAGAATTTTGAGCTATGCAAATTTTTGTTTATTTAGACCTGAAGGGAGCTAAATAATTTAATAAACAAAGTACAAAAGTAAAACCCACACATTTTGCATGGTGTACGTAACAGGCCTTTTTTCGGAAATGTGCAAATATAAGCAACCTAATGCCCTCCAAGAATCTGCCAGTCATACTGGCTTGTACATCACTTGTACAAGTGAAATGGAAGGTAGATGTTTGTTATTATAATGCAAATTCCCACAAAATTCACGACGGAGTTAAAACATTGAAACTCAATCACCATTGACACAAATTGGCAAGCTAGTTTCATTAGCTTCTGCATCTTTCTACTGTTTTACAAAACTGTATGTATATATATATATATATAAGCATCATGTAGCTTTTTTGAAACTTTGAGATATTGAAATATGAATGAAAATGAATGGTATTCTTGAAAGATCAAATGTCTACGAAATATGGAAACTTACTGCACAGAAGAAAGTATAAATATCTTGTGATGTGATGATTATGAAAAAAAAGTGTTTGTCAATTTGGCAGGAATATATATGGCATATCACCAAGGTTCTGAAAGTATACAGTGTATGTCAGCTTAACATACATCCTCTAAGAATCTTGCCTGGGTAGGTAAACATTTATTTTTTTTGGGAGGGGACTTGGACATGCTGGGAAAATAACCTACAATCATGAGGGAATCGGTTTCCTGAAACAATAGACTTTGACTCTTTTGAGGGCATATGAACTCCTGACATTTCTAAACAGAACAATTTCAACATCACATTTATGCTCTTGGCAGACACATTTTTACCAAAAGAAGTTTCAAAAGTAACAAAAGGCCTAACTTATTGCAACCAAAGATATAATTCTATAATGTTACCGCTCTACCAGTTTAGTAAAAGGCCTCCCACGACCTCTGTTTCTTCAGATGACTCATGGCAGCCACTGTGTGTGTGTGTGTGTGTGTGTGTGAAAGAGACAAAAGATAAACACAGATTGTTGTAGCTGCCATTTCCTAACCATCTCAAATGTATCTGATCAAGTGCATGTTTTAAATGCTTTTTAAAATCAATGCAAAAAGAGAAGACTAATTTGAGAGTTTTGTAATTGTTTATATTACTCTGTGTGTGTGTGTGTGTGTGTGTGTTTCTTCATTTAAGTAGGTAATTGTGTATAAAATGTTATTAAAAAACAGCAAAGAACTGGTGGCTATACTTGCTTTAGCAAACGCTTTTTGGAGATCAGTTACAGGCTGATGAAAGTTGTGTGTAAAGAAGACCAACTCGTGATGATTTCACCTTGCCTGTTTACTGTGCAGTATTATGCTGCATATTAAATTCTAAATGTATACATTTAATGTCACTAATTTATTAATTACGACTATGGATAAAATATGTTTGTTTTTATAGAATAAAAAAGATTGTGATTCGGTAAAAAAAATCCGTCATTAGAAACAGCACCATCTAAAGGTAGCAGCCAAGGACCTGAAAAGGGAGGTAGAGGGGGAGGGGGAGGGCTGACCTTAGCAAGCTATCCAGTTCAACATACTTGTATCTAACCTTGATATGTTAAAAGCTGGCTAAGCTTGTTTTATAACTTATTACCCTATCATTTTCATACCTGTGAGGAGTAGAGAACTGACCCCTCCTCATATGTATGACCAAAAAAATAGACTTAAACCAAAGCACCAACGTTTACGCTACATCACATTACTAACTGCACATGAACAGAAAAGCTCATTGTTACAAGCTATCCAGTTCAACATACTTGTATCTAACCTTGATATGTTAACAGCTGCCTAAGCTTGTTTTATAACTTATTACCCTATCATTTTCATACCTGTGAGGAGTAGAGAACTGACCCCTCCTCATATGTATGACCAAAAAAATAGACTTAAACCAAAGCACCAACGTTTACGCTACATCACATTACTAACTGCACATGAACAGAAAAGCTCATTGTTGTGGATGTTAGCCAAGAGTGCAATCTTTTCTACTCCATCAGCAATAAAGATTACTGTTTATCAACAGATATAATTTACAGTCAAGGGTAAAGTAATGCCAGTGCTGTGACTAAGTGGAGTAGAGGTTTTGTGACAACCTTCAGCATTTACACGGGTCAAAAGTTTAAAATAACTATGCCTTTTAAATGTTTTGAAATAAGTCTCTTATGCACAAAATACAGTAAAAAAAAATATAGGAATATTGTGAAATATAATAAATAATAGTTTAATAACTATTTTCTATTTTAATGTAATTTATTCCTGTGATGCAAAGCTAAATTTTCAACAGCCATTTCTCCCGTTTTCAGTGTCACATGATCT